CGGTTTTCAGCTTTTTTATTTTGCAATTAGTGATATCTTTACCTTTAAGCATGGAAATCTGAAAATTACCGGTTAATATTAATTATTCTCGTTTGTAACAACGAATCAAAAAGTTGATTGTATTTATTTGTTTTTGCTTATTTGAATATCTCTACTTAGCGATAGTATCAGCTGCATAACGGGAATTTCACTGATTTTAAAATTCACGTTGTTCTATACTTGATGCATATTCATACTTGAAAATTAGAAGTATTAAACATCAAAAACCTGAAATAAATAAATTAATTGATTTTTAAGAAACGTAATTCAGATTTTTATAAAAAAACTCTTTAGAAAGTCAAAAAATTCTTATCTACAAATAGTTAATCATGGAACATGTCGATACTGTTTACAAACAAGAATTTTTTAGTCTTCTATAAAATTTGTGCATAAAAAAACTGAAGTATGCATTGAAATCTTAACACTGGAACTATCACAATTTGTTAAATAATTTCTCGAATAATTGAACAATAATTGTAAAATATTAATAATTCAATCGATCACTAATCAGTAATTTAAAAAAGAACCCAGGAATGTATGATTTTCACCCCCTTCCGTTAGTTTTTTAAATTAATATTAAAAGCACTCGATGTAAACGAGTTAAGGGAAGAACCAAATGTGAAATAAACGATCACGATCATCATCGAAATAATGTTTGAAACGCAGGTTGAACGAGGAATTCAGAGACCTAAGGCTGCAAGACCTCCGGCCGTTGGCCACCTTGGGCGTGGGCGGTTTCGGAAGAGTCGAATTAGTTCAAATAGCCGGCGACGGCACGAGATCCTTCGCCCTGAAGCAAATGAAGAAGGCGCAGATCGTCGAGACGCGACAGCAACAGCACATCATGTCCGAGAAGAGAATTATGGGCGAGGCTGATTGCGACTTTATAGTGAAGCTGTTCAAAACGTTCAAAGACAGGAAGTATCTTTACATGTTGATGGAAGCCTGCCTCGGCGGCGAGCTGTGGACAGTGCTGAGAGACAAGGGCCACTTCGACGACGGCACAACGCGATTTTACACCGCGTGTGTCGTGGAAGCGTTCGACTATCTCCATTCTCGAAACATTATCTATAGAGATCTGAAACCGGAGAATCTTCTTCTTGATAGCCAAGGGTAAGGATTGGTCGTGGCAAAATTTTCTTTCTCCATGGAAATATATTAGAATCGATTATCCGAACTTTCGATTGTCTAGTAATAGATACCTTTTCATTTGATTATTTACGATTAAATTAATTATTTATTGTAATGATTTATTAATTATTTTACGCCATAACTAAGTATATTAATTATATTATTGATTATATTAAGTATTTTATTATTCGATTATCCAAACCATCTTAGTTCCAACTATATAGTTCGGGTAATCGAGATTCTATTATATATTATTTTAGAGGACGATGATTATATTAAGTGAAAATAGATACAACTTCCATGTTTCTGATACAAAAATGGAAAACAGTATTTTTTATGAAAGATAGGAAATCCATTAAAGTACAATTATTACAATTTTTTATATTTGTTATTAATATTATGGAAGTATACTTTAATTCTCTGTACAATAAATAATTATAAACGGTTAACAGTTATTATAAAGCCAAAAAGTCAACTTGAGCAACTGCAGAATTTTTTAATTCTCGCATGAATATATTAAAATACATGTAAAATACAATAAATGTCTTCAGTAGGTAGAATTTATAAAATCAAATTGTTTTCTTTTTCTTAGGTACGTTAAACTTGTCGATTTTGGTTTCGCTAAGCGTTTGGAACACGGAAGGAAAACATGGACGTTCTGCGGCACACCGGAATACGTTGCGCCGGAAGTAATTTTAAACAAAGGACACGACATTAGCGCAGATTATTGGTCCCTTGGTGTTCTTATGTTCGAACTTCTCACGGGCACACCACCATTCACTGGCGGCGATCCAATGAAAACTTACAACATTATTCTGAAAGGAATAGACGCTATAGAGTTCCCAAGATCAATCACAAGAAATGCAACTGCATTAATTAAAAAGCTTTGCAGGTAAGATGTACGATCTGAAAAACAATATTAACACTTAGACAACCGCCTGAAAAGAAACTATAACTACAAACTTTTTCATTAACTTTAATTGAACTCATTCAACAGACTTCATTAAAAATTGTATTTCATAAAAGCAAGAAAGATGCCGTTCAGTGCCACGTGTACCACTTATGGTACACGCCAATTTTTGTAAGAAAATATTTTTAATGGATATATGGTCACGGATAGCGGTATACGTTGCAAAGCAGTGAAAACATAAAGAAACAATATCAAGATACATAAAAATGACCAAAAACTTGTATATAACTTATCATTTTGTTTTTAAAAATCAATACAGTTTATAAGTAAAATATAACCGAAGTTTCCGTGGCACCGATCGTGTTAATAACATATTTTTTATAATTTATATATAGAAATATAGAAATATAGTATTTATAGTATATATATAGAAATATAGAAATATATTTACATTTTTTTAAACCAAATAAATGGCAATGCGTTTTTAAGGAAAAAGCAGATTGGCTAAGTGTTAAAATAGATAATTCGCAATTTTTTATTTAATTATACTTAACCATCTGATTTGTTTCCAGGGACAATCCAGCAGAGCGGCTTGGTTACCAAAAGGGTGGCATTAGCGAAATACAGAAACACAAGTAAATACATGTTTGCATTATATATTCGTAAAACTTATAGACCTAAGATACTTGTAGACCTAAGATTTAATCAAGAGTTAATTTATTAAGATTAGTATATAACTTGCTAAATATACAATTTTGATGATTATTTATATTTTATTTAGATGGTTTGATGGCTTTAACTGGGAAGGCCTAAGAGCAAGGACCCTCGAACCACCAATCATGCCACGTGTTCAAGGCGCCACTGATACAACGAACTTCGACGAATATCCGCCAGACTCGGATCCACCACCACCTGACGATATATCTGGATGGGACAATGATTTCTAGCGAACGTTTCTATTTAAAGAAATTTTCTATTGTCAAGAGAGAATCAGAAACAAAAAAAAAAATGTTATCATTTCATGTCCAGAGAAATGAAAGATAATCAAGAAAATCACTGAAAAAGATAGGACTGTCACCATTTGCATTTATTCTGCAAGTCGCCACTGTATGGTGTACAGATAATTATGAAATGTTCAATTATTCTGAAGATAATATTGAAGAAAAAAACTGGCTTGTGATAGAAAATTACATGTAAGAAAAAGTTGTCTCCTCTAAAAAGCAATTCAATTTCTGTTGCGTGTAGATCCGTTTGATCTACCGGATATAAATAAAATGATTCTTCACTACGTTATCTAGAAAGAACAATTAAAATAGAAAGGAAACGAAAGGAACTATTTTGAAACACCGCCCAGTATCAGAGTGAACTGAAAACGTGCGTATAATTTAGAGAATTTTGTAACACGCACAGATCTGTGTTCCGTGGAAATGGAAAAAGAATCGAACGCATCGTCACATAAGACACGCGTGAAAGCGTCAAGTGCCATGCCTGTCAGAGGTAAAGTCAAATACAACGCATGCGTAGTGCATCTTTACGCGAAAGTGCACAAAACGTAGTCAGCTCAACCGGAAGTGAATTCTTGCCATCGGACTCACAATGTGCACGTAATTTCGCGAAATGAGAAAGGAAAGGAGAAAAACAAATAAAAGAAGAAAGAATCTTCACGTCCGGTTCATTGTTGTTTGATTCATTTTATAGTTTATTGTAATAATCCTATTTTAATTAATTATGAGATAAAGTGACTCTTGTAAATAATTGATTATAAATATATTAGGTAATGTCCAGTGTATATCGATATTAAATAAAGTTTTATTAATGCTAACTGCATTCGATGCATTTAATTTTTGTGTTTTATAGGTTAATTTGATGTAGATAGAGGAGTGCACAATTAGAGTTAAAATAATATTCTTCGGTAATTTAGCAAACAAATTTTCAATTTATATTTTTGATTTGGATTTATAAATTACATAATTTTCATTGGAAACACTTTCTAAATTAAAAATTGAATGCAAGTCTGAAAAATCATGTCCCAAATGCATTTATGTGTTATTTACATGAAGAAAACCATTATGGTAATTGTAAAATATACTAAAATAATAAAGACAGTTATGTCAAATATAAAAAAGAGACATAGCAAAATTCTGAAGCAAATATATGACCTACTAGTTCTATTTTCAAGACCATTAAAAATTAGTTCACGAAAAATAAGGAATCGCCTTTGCAATGCATCGATAATCATCGATGGTATAAGTTTTTTATATTCAAGGACATTAATTTACGGAAAATGTATTTAAAAAAAAATCAAAATGTGCAACCTAAATTTCTTGAACGATTGTGTTGTAAAATAATAATTGCACGTTTAAAATTGTAATGTGTACAGTAATATAATTAAAAGAGTTAATATTATATAAAATCAGGACATTTACATTTCTTGCCAATTAAAATGGGTAAACATTATTGTTACAATAACATGATGACAAAGTTTTAAGTATTCAGGTAAGTTCATAATTTTGCAGCAGTAACGACATCTCTCATCAGAAAGCAAAATTACCATTAACTAATCACTGATTTTAAGGTACATGTATTAGGTAGACATAACGTGCAATGTAAAATTTTGGTACACCTCGGAGGTCCTAGTACACCTTACCATTTTCATATCACGCCCTGTCATATCGACTAAGACTGGTTTTGCATGACAGCGCTATAAGTAATAGGAATTAGAATCAAAAATATTGAAACAAGCTTAAAATACGTACAAACTGTGCATATCATATATTTTTCTATTGACTATTCTGAAATACCGACATCCTCAAAAATACATGAACAAACTCTACCTGAATCGGTTGGTCAGTTACTGAACTACACTCAGTCAAAAAAGTCTGTACATTCCAGAAAAATGTATTAAATGTTGCATATTTTTTTAAGGAAAAGATCAGAAATAAATAATTTTTACTAAAGTTGGAAAATTGTTAGATGTTATATGTACGTTGCGAAGATGCACTTTATAGATTAGCGATTAAAAATTTCATGGAAAATAATTTTTAAAATTTATATGGGACAACTCGGGTTTTTCTAGATATAAAAATCAATTGTTCGGAAAACGATAAGAACTTCGCCGATTATATTATGCAAGTAAACTGTGTACATTTTTAGTATTCTTATTGTATTGTACTTTAAAATTGCTAATTCTGTTTAATATTCTAATAGATGTCTATAAGAAATTATGAGTATATACAAAAATGTACTATTGAGCCAAAAAAATAAAAAAGAACACGCTCTTTATTCTGTTATTTGTATTTATTTGCACGGACTTAAGCAAAACATTATATATGAATTCAAAATAATACCTAAAAGTGTGCTATACATTTTAATTCTGAATGCATAACAATTTTGGTAAAAATATTATAGTTCAAATAAAAATCTACATTGAACTTCAATTTTATTTGTGAAAATTTCAATTAGTAAAATAAAAACTGTTTATATATAATTTATCAAAGAATTTTCTACAACTGTGTAATTAATTAAAATAATTTTTATGTAAGTTTTATAAATATACTTTATATAATGAATGAAAACTGCATTGTTACAAAGTTCTATTGAATAAATACTACTTCTATCGTTTAAATGTACGCACCTTATATATTTGTTGCTATTAAATGCTGCTGACAAGCTGAAATCTTGTATTATCGGTAACGTTGAACGTGACACCGAAATGGTATGGGGGTCTTGAGACCCCCGAAGTCCTATACAAAATTCTCATAAGCTGCAACGTCTGTACGTATCTTAATTCTGTGTTTCAATATTTTTCATTCTAATTCTTATCACTTATAACGCTGCCATGCAAAATCAGCCTAAGTCGATATGACATGGCGGGGCATGGAAATGGCAAGAAGGTCCTAGAACTACACAAAAGGGTGTAACAAAATATTACATTGCATGTTATGTCTATCATTATACCTCGATAATAGTGATCACCAAACCTTAAGTTTGTACAATAATTTTGTTTCACTTTAGATGTTTATAACTCGTTGCAATTCTAATATTTGTAAATCATTTGTAGATAGTAACAAAGTTAAAAGATGGAAAAGACATTATGTCTGAGCAATGTCATCATTTTTGTAATTCGACCACCTGCACTTCCATCGGTCGTTGAGGCCCTGCCATTGCGTGGGAATTTATCACTTTTCATGATTTTTACTGACAATTTTTTAAAACTATATAATTTTTATATAATTAGATAAATATAGAAATGTATAACATTTAAATGCAAAATAAGTGGAAACTTGTTTCTTAATTTGAAGTAATACTTGTTTATCAACAAATGAATGACTTTGACACCTCTAGTAATATGTGTACAGAATAAGTATACAAATGATCCCTTTACAATCAAATACAAAAGCTAGTTTTTTTGGTCACATAATCTTTCTGTTTTAACGTTATGTTATTCATTAATTGACTCTTGTATTTAGGTAGTATTTACTAGAATATTTAGAGTATTTTTGATATTGACGATACTTTCTGAATAGTTTTAAACCGCGGGCAAAATGTCGTATTACACGTGACTTCTGACAAGTTTTAAGTCTATGTTATTGATTGAAAACTGACACCAACTGATACAAGTTGGCAATTCGTAAGACGCATATGTATTTTTTCCGGAGCGTTTGTTGTTATAGAAATAGTTTACCTTGTTACACACAATAAAAGTGTTGTATTCGCTATGGGAAATCTTTGTGGATCTTGTTGTAAACAATCATCTTCATGTGAAAATTTAACTCCAGATTTGGTAAGTTCATTATTTTGAGGTTATCTGCGTAAGTGTAAAAAATTATTTCTGAATTTTTATTATAACAATTGAAATTATTTTTTATTTTGTTTCATTTCTGTTATTAATATTGATAGTATTTAAATAGTCAAAATGAAATGATTTTAAAATTATTAAATAAGAATGAATAAATAGATATAAATTAATTTTATGTTAAAAATTATATCTCTTTATTTAGGATACTAGGAGAAGGCAGCAGATGGAAGCAGCTGAGAGCAGAATTGCTAAGTTGCAAAGTCGAGGTATTAGAAATATGGATGCTGTTAAACGTCAACAAATGATAGACCAACAACGTGAGAGACGTGAAGAAGAAGCTAGTAATTATAATGTACAGCCAACATTAAAGGTATGTTGCTAAAATTTATTATTATTATATTATAGTTATTATAGTTATATTATCGTTATTATAAAATATATTATTATGTACTTGAATGCAGTATATTAATTTTGTGATATGTTATTTTAATAATATTTTTATTATATTATCACATAAGAAAATTTTATTTCAGTGGCAAATGAATTAAAGGAAAACAGATTGTAACCTTGAAAAATTTATACCGTTCATAAAATTGTTTTAAGCAACGCATAATTATTGTTCAAGCAGAAATTGTTAATTATGTATTTACTGTTTATACATGATATTTGATATTATTTCTCATAAAATAGTAACAAAGTTGCAAGTTTACATTTTATCAAATCTAAATTTTCTTAAAAAATGTTTAAATTATATATATTATATATATACATACACCTTTTTACACAACATTTTCTATGATATTTAAAATATTTTATACGGTATAAGAGAAAAGTGGATACAGTATAATTATATCGAATACAATTATTGAAAAAAGTGTTACAAGAAATTGCTGTACGCGAATAGTTTACATTCACATAACATTTCAGTTTTTCTTTTTCATCGTTATGAGTACAATAACAACATATTTCACTTATGCATGTGGTTATTAGAGATTAAGAACTATTGCTTTAAAATCTCATATAATGACACTGTTAAAGAAGTTGAAAATATTCAATTTCATATTTTAAAGTATTACTCATTCCAATTTTATTACTGTTATCTGTATTATTAAGTAAAGTATTCAAGAAGTGTTTATATTTGATAATACAGTGCAAATTTAAAGTTATTATTTTTAGTAATATATTATATTTATTTAGAATAATGTAAATTATACATTGATTATAATAATGCAAATTGTGATGAACTGTATATTATAAAATGTAAATTTATGTATAAATAAACTCTGTAAAATAAGGTTGGTAACAATGCAATTTTCGAGTGTGTATTTTTAAACCTACTTTTTAAATAAAATTATAAAATGAAAAATGTATCACATATGCTGAATTATACTAAAGGTAAGGTTGAGTTTATATTTATAATGGTAGAATAATATATGTACCAATTTTTTAAAACATTTTGTTTAAAAAATTCGCATCTTAATTGAAGTCTTAACAGAACTTGTTTCCATAGTGAGGAAAATAAATATAAAAATGTGATTTTTCTCATAAACAAATGCAGAAGTAATAATACTTGTAAGTATGTACGCATTGATATTTCAAGTCCATTGAACAAGATGAGTGAGTGTAAGTAAATAAAACATCGACGTGCGTTTTATTTGAACTATTAAAAAAAAAATTGATCATCATGGGCATTTGTTTGAAATTATAATTGATTCGGTTTGAACGGACTATAAAATATACGAATTTACAAAACACAACAAAATAGAAACACCACATAACATTTAATAAAAGTCTAAAGTATTTAAAGAATATATATAGTACGAACTCATACTTTAATGGATGATAGAAGGATAGTATTTGTTTCTTTAACATTATTAATAAATCATTTTATGATGTAGAATTAAACCACTCTTTTTATCTTACAAAACATTACAATTTTTTGTTATGAAGTAACATTAAGTAATATATTTATTTTTATCTAAATATATATATATATGTGTGTGTATATATATGTATATATTTACATGTAAATAAAACATTTGTAATATGATATGAGTACGTAAAAGTTTTAATTATTATAATCTATGTTTATAGAGAAAAAATGTATAATTTGTACAATGTTCTGTTTGATGAATTAAAGTATGTATTGAGTGTACGAAATATGGTTTAAAAATATACAATTCTATGGTGTTTCATATTTTTCCTATTCGGTGTACCGACCAAGATCGGAATAATTTTTTTGTGGATTTAGTTTTTAATTCTCTTCCATGAGCAATTTGTACTTCTAATGATGCTCCATTATTTAATGCTAACCATGTATGAATTTCATCAGTTGCAGCGGAGACTCCTAAAAATGGCATGATATATTAACATTTGTAAAGTTTAGTTGAACACATATTCAAACTCAAATGTGTGAAAATTATATTTCTATATATACCCAATAATTCATGAAGAGTGATTCGTCGACTGGCTAGTAACTCTTTGCTAGCACTTCGAATTTCAAATATCAATAAAGACTGTCGTGGAACATTATCACTTTCTATGTGAAAGTCTATACTGAACTGAGGATTGGGCATAGCAGGTAAAAGTCGAGATTTTGCCAAAGTTTTACCAGTGTTTGTTGAAGATGCAATTTTATCAGGACTGGTACATCTGTTAAGTGTCAGACATTAGTGTTACTATACTGTATAACTATAACTATTTATATAATAATTAAGTATTTACATAGTGTAATACATCAGTTAATACATAAGTATGTACATAATAATTTAGTATATACTTACGTCTGAAGTTTAATTCTACAATATAATTGAGCGATGTGTGCAACATGAAGACCTTGAGCTTGAAGAACTTTACCTTCTATACCTGAATATTTTTCTCTGGTACCATTAACAACTTTTAATTCTAATACAATAAAAATAATTTTAGTAATCGAACATTATGCATGTTTCGTATATTTCATAGAAATATTACTCAAGAAATTAAAATATAATTTATTAATCTAGTTTACTAACCATTTGGTGGTCTTAGTCTTAAACGTGGACTAGGCTGTCTTATTCTGCCAAGCATATCAGGTTGTGATACAGCATGAGCTAAACCGGATTCTTGTAAAAGCTCTGTAGCATCAGCTTCTCCTCCACCTCTAGGTTCCAAGCTTAATGTTATACCTTTTGCATCATTTTTCTCTTCTATATTTACTTCTGATCGAAATCTACGAAGCTTTAGTCCTCTCTTTACCTGAAGATATTTATTTTATTTCTATTATTTCTATTATTTATATTCCCAATATCATTGAATATTTGTAATAGAATTTGTTGCGATTTATTAAGCAATAACTTTAAAAAAATTGTTATGTAGTTATTTAAAATGGACTTAGTTCATGATTATAATTACTAGGCCTATAGGACGGTCGATTATGAAATCTTTAGTTGTTAATTAATCGTTTAAAAAAATTGCTATATAATCTTTAGTGGATAAAGTGTTACAACTCAGAACTGTAATTGAAAAAGTTATGATTTTAACTTCTAACTACTTTATAATTACTCTATAATTATATAATCATTTGATTACCTTCTGTTTCATAACACGGAAGCTATTGTATTGTGGCAATTTCTTGCCAAAGTTTTGTTCCGGGCTTGGTGTCAGGCTATTATGAGAAGATCGTCGTTCTCTCAATTTTGTTGAATCGGTAGTGTCAGTCATATCTGTTACTCTTTCTGTAATAACTCTGGGTATCCATGAGTTCTGAGAGCCATTCATCTCGTTAGAATCTTTGCTTCCAACACTAGCTTTGTCTAATTAAAACAATTCGAACGAATCAAATTAGTCACAAAATACAATTAAATTTGTACCTAATAAACGAATTAATCATCTACTAAACAACTTACCAGATTGACTAGAAATAGTTGGTTTTAATAAAGTCACAGTACGTGGTGGGGGTGGTGGTGGCACCACATCTAAATGCAACCTCATCTTTGATTTTTCCATCGATGGTCTTCTGATGATGTTTGATACTGTCTCAGAAGTTTCAATGTTCAATTGTGTCGAGCTTTCACTGATGTTGCTGGCTGCATACGTGCTTTGAGTCTAAATAAAATAATTCATTTATTATTAAAACAAGGAATAAAAGGAACAATAAATAAAACGATTTTTGTCTTATTAAGAAGCTTTTTCATTACCTCACATTCTTCGGACAAGACCTTAATTCTCAACTCTACAGATCCAGTTTTGGTTCCTCTTAACGTGAACCAATGGGACTGATCGCTGTTCGACAACTTCCGGATGTCATCGAGAGTCAATGATACTTTTCCAAGGTAATCCTTCATTCCAAAAGTATCATGATCCCATAAAACCTATATAACGAAAATATTATGTATAATACTTATATTCTAGCTATTATATTTACGAATTTAATACATTTGCCATCAGCGTTACATATTTGTGACGTTTAACATTTTCTACATTGTGTAAAGAAAATTAAATTACTCTCACGTGTGTTCGTATCTAAAATCGTAAGTTGAATTTTATTTCCATTTTATGAAAACAATTTGTTGTCTTTAGAAAATATTGTAATTGTAAAGATTGCTACTGAAATGAACGCTGATCTCAAACGTGTTAATTTAATTCGATGAAGTTCTTGAGATAATAACAATATTTCTTAATTTTAATTTACTAATGTCAGTTAATTAATAGTAATTAACAGTAAAGTAGCTTCCACGAGTCTAATTGAGAAAAGAATTATATAGTAAGGAACTAATGTAATTTAAGAATCTTACGACATCTAAGGTCTCGCCTATCCTTGGCAAACCCATAATGGAACTTTCGTCCCAGCAAGGATTCAGTGTTTTCTTCTTTATACTGCTCTTGTACTTCGTTTCGTTGTTCAGCTTTAATTCGCAGAAAGGGTCGCTGAAGCCGTTCAGATCCTTTGCTACGAGATCCTTTGCACGTAATAGCGTTACTTCCATCAATCCACTTCCGGTGGAGAGTAGACTCGATACGTCCGATGATGCTGGATCTATATCCTTGTGAGTCAGTAATAACTTCTGCGAATAATTAGATTTATATGAAATATGACAAGTCAAAAATGAAACAATATTACCGTAGAGTAAAATAATGATTATAATATGAATATAAATTATACTAATATAATCATTATGTAGAGATATATAATTATAGATAGATAATTATTGATATCGATTATACTAACAGCTTGTTGCATCCAGGGCAAACTATTCCTTTTTGTTTTGGGTTCGTCATCTGATACCGGAAGAGCCAAGCTACTTCTTCGGCTGGTGACTACCTGCTGCACACTTTTCACGGGATGGAACATGACAGACACTGTCATCGTCGACATATTATTCGAGCCACTGAGAGGCAGTTCTTTCTTTATTATCCATGCACTTTCCTGCATTAAGAATATTGTAAAACATTGAGTTCTTTCTAAACGAAGATGAGATAATGTTGTCACGGTTTAATGCATTGTTTGTCAAAAATAAATTTTTGTTTTTTTAATATTTTTTTTAAAAAAATCAGTAAGAAAAGCAAAATTTAAGGGAAAACCACCATTTTCTGCTAAGAAGCTTATAGTTTCAGTATTGAAAATTATCATATTAAATTACTGTATAAGTATATGTTATTAAATAGTTTTTGAATAAATAATTGTGTAATTTTACCTGGGATAATGATAATATAGCGAGCCCAAGCATGTCACTGTCAGTAGATTTGGATATGTTCCAGGAGTATATCACAAAACTCAAAGAGACTTGTGTATAATCTTGAACAAGAAATTGGGCTCTGGATTCCCAGCATGGCGAATTAGTACTTCGAATGTAATGTGTTGTTTTTACCTGTAAGTTTAACAAAAAAAAAGAAAGAAGTTACATTAACATAGTTTGAAGAGTAAAATAATGGAACAATACCTTTTTTCGGTTGTTAAACAGCATGCAGTAAGGATTGCACTGAGAACTGTCGCTATTGAGATTTTCTGCGGAATGAATGTACACGACGAGTACTCCTGAAAATGTATGTTCATCATTTAATGACTGAATCAGTGTATATTCTATAAAATTATACGAATTTAACACTAGAACTACCGAATAGTCGAATTAGCTTTGCTTCACTTTTGTATAGAAACTCTAAAAGCACATCTATCGAGATTTCGACTGATTTATAATTCAGTTTGTGTATTACGAAAACAATTTCTCTAATATTTCTCAAAGAATTATTTGATATTTTTTCAATAATTTTAAAAGGAGAAATTAGAAACGGGTCATTTTGATTCATCTGATATTAGTTCTAGTGCTAATGTTTCTTAAAAAGTATTATGCGAAAGTGAAATAATATACTGCGCTGTGCTTTAACAAGAAAACGAAAATATTTGAAATTCATGCTCGGAAGCAACATCCATCATCGCCGATACAGTATTTATTTAGTGTTTTACCTGATCTTTGTGCTCGGTTGGAGTATTTTCGTGACACTGAAAATACCAGATACGGATAATACCGAACACGATCGCCTATTTACGTCTTTTTTGGTTTTTAAGAAACATATTACGATCTCCTAAGATATTTGTACGAAGAATACTAGGAAAAAGAGCAATCGAACAACAGGGACTCAATCTAGCGATCTATAAATCTATTGATTTATAATACAAAATTATATATATATGATACAAATGGGTTACATAGATATTTATTTCACTATTTCCAAGGATCAAAGGTATTTGTACACTTAGCCAACCGAATAGGGAGTTCTCCCACTTTTCCCTTAGCAATATATTGGCATTTACTTTGTTTATACCTTTTTGTTATTTAGTAAGTTTCGAATTGGGGATATTCGCAATTCATTAAACACCTTTCCTGCTTTTGTAAAATACAGTTTTTAATGAAATTTGTTGAATAAGTTCAGGTAAAGTTAGTGAAAAAGGTCGTAGTTTCTTTCCAGGAGGTTGTCTAAGTGTTAACCGTTCTACTTTCTTCTAGTTTCTCGACGTTTTTTAAGGATCTCAGTATTTCGATCCAATATATTTATGTAGCGTTGGTTTTAGCGGCTGCGCGTTGAAAAACGATAGAAGATAAAATTAAACTGTAAAATACCTGAAAGATGTGTATTATCCTCTGTTAATTCTGGTTGCGGTAAATCTGGATCTAGCTTTGGAAGGGTGGTGTACTCTAATCGGGCATTGATGTTTGGAATGTTAGCACTATTGCGGGATGGTTTCTTTTGTTGCAGTACCGTCTCGATTCTGTTCGAACAGAAACAAATAAATGAAGATAATTGTCTTCGCTCTCGATCTTTTCAATATTTTCTTGTTTCTTCAATTTTTAAATCTTTAACTGTTTCTTCGATTCTTTCTGGTAATATGATTTTAGTAAAGAATCCGTTTAATATTTATTTTCTCACCAATACTTATTGCTATATTGGAGAAACAATTTATTAATTAATCGATATTTTGATTATCATATTCATAAAATTATGAATGGAGAATAAAAAATTTTAAATAAATAACATAAATGTGCCAGACGAAGTTTCGTTCTAATTATATTGAATTAATTATCGAATATTGTTGTGCGACGGAAGTAAAATTTCAAATAGTAACGTTTTTTATGAAACATTTCTACTAAACAAGTAAATTTTATTTTTCCCAAGTTTACATTTTCTCAACTTACACCTGCGAGTTGTCCCAGTTATAGAGCCCAAGCGCCAATTCGAATTGTGCCAAAGTGATCGTGCTGACAAGTCGTTTTGCTTTTAATTTGATGGAAACTTTCTCGTTATCCAAGGCACCGACCAGAAACGAGACGTCCTCGTTCCATGTAGAATTTAAGGGAGTCGTCACACGCCTTTGATCTCCTAGCGTTACGACGAGCCACCTAGCTTCATCGCCGACTGAAATTGTAAGGAACAATAAGTAATAAAAAAAATGGTTATTCATTAAACATTAACGTACGTTCGAATTTTATTTAGCTGTTTCAAATATTAAATGAAATAAAGTTTAATTTCTGTTATAATTGACAATTTAATATTCTCGTTGAAAATTGAGAGTACATTAATCCCTTGTCCTATGATTTATTTGTCAACTATAATACAACAAGTTTGTCAGACTTTTATTTTAGTATTCATATTAATCAATTAATTTATCTAAGAGCATGTGTATTTTTCTAAAAAAAATGGAAAAGAACAAATCAAGACTCTGTTAAATTTAGTGTTAATCAACACTAGATTTACCAGATTCGATTTTTTCTAGATTCGTTCTGTTATAAATTCTTAGAAAAAATACACATATTTCTTAATTAACACAGTGTTGATCAACATTAGATTTACAAAACGAGTCAATTTGACTGATATTAAATTTCATAAATATTATTTGGTAAATGTTTGAATCGATTTTGATTGATGCAATCACGAAAATACGTATTCTAATTGTCTACTTTTACACAAATTTCAAATTTTCTAAGACCGATAGAACAAACTGTACATTAAATGTCCGTCAATCCGGTGTTAACACAAGGATAGTATAGTTATACGAATAACGTTTGCGGAAGAGTCAAAACGTTCGTTTTATGGGTGAACCAGATGGCTTTTTAATCACCTGAAGAACCGTTTTGAGACAAGAAAACGGTAAGCACTCCTTGCGGTATGGAATTCGCCATAAAATCCAGTCTGGGTCCGGGTCGTTCTTGCGCTCTCAGATTCATCTCCAAGTGACCTGGATCAACGATCCAGCTGGCCAAGGCGTCCGTAACCACCGCGTGGATCCAGGTCTTAATTAAAGGCATTTCCATCATTTGTACGGCTCGGAGTATTCTCACGCTGAACCAAACGTCCGGTTTCTCCACGAAACTCACGCTTAAAGAGGTTGCGTGAGGGAATGGTGCCATGGAGTTAAGGGTCAGGGTGGCAAGAATCGTTCCCGAGAGTGATAGTTTCTCCACGGCTAAATCAACGTCCATGCCGACCCTTTAATTGAACGTTTTATCTTTCAGAAAAAGTTTTTATCACAGTCTTATATTATAGACCTTACGATAAATTGTGATAATATGGGCAGTAATGTTCCGATTAACGGTCAAGATATGTTCTTAGGAGACAACGCTTTAAATGAGGTCATCTTAACTCATAGTAAAGAGGGTTGAGGAAATATGCGACTGAGAGTAAAGAAATTTTTTGTTAATTTTGATTCAAAAATTTGAGAATTTGAACATCTGAGAATTTGAGAATTTGAACATTTGAACATCTGAGAATTTGAGAATTTGAGAATTTGAACATTTGAATATTTGAGAAATTGAACATTTAATGATTAAAAACTTAGGAGATGGTATGTTCGTTGATACAACAAATACCTTAAACATAGATATATACTCACCCTTTCCCAAACAGCCTGGTTGTAATCAACATACGAAACTGTTCACAATCGAGGCGTACGTCGGCTTCGATGGACAATTTCGTTTGACCAGTTTGTCCTTCAGGAACGTCATCGTCATTGGTGTAATCCAAAGTTCTTATACGTGTCACATAAGGAGTTTGTTCGCCAAGAGTGAGTTCCCTCAGCTCCAGTGGTCCTGAAACAAATGTACGAAACCATATTTTCTTAATCATTTTTTAATTGAAAATGTAACTTCCTATTTTCTTCGAGAAAATGTTGTTCTTCACGTTTACACCGAAATACACCACCGGCGGTACGCATCTTTATAACATTAAAATAAATCAACATAAATAAGTAAATTATTTATTAGATTATTTATTAACATTTACCTATGATTAGTAATTGTAGTCAGAAAACTAGACACGTAACAATAGTCTGTGCTCCAACGTCATTTTTACAGTCTATGATTAAACATATAGAAACATGTCTCTACGTGAATGTGTTAAACAGCGTTTTTTAATAAAACAAAATCGGCTCACCTAATATTCCTGGTTTAGCTTCATTTAACAGTGGTTCCAATCTTTCCTTTGCTAAGGAAAATATACCTGCTGCGCTGAACCTCCACCTGTATTACATAATTTGGTAATAAATTATATTATAAATCTGTGTATCGAAGTAGAGGAAAATTAGATTCAATATCCGAGTTGCCAAATTTAATTATAACATCTGCTTTACTTCCTTCAAAACAACTTAAAGTGTACTTTCTTTTGTAACTATAAAAACTATATTAAACTATGAAAACTTATTTTTTCGCGTGAGAAAAGATTACACGAATTCATGTGCCATCTTAACTATTTTAACTCCTTTTCCGATAATATCGTGTCAGACTCGTGATGAAAATTTTAAATTGAATTCGACAAATCTAAATGTTATTTCTTTAACCTTTAGAGCAAACGTAGATGCAATATAACTATATCCAATTCTTCTCTTTTTCCATTAAATTGTTAAGGATAAAGTAGTTTTATCAAGCAGAGTTGAGAAAGTAATCATAAAAACCAACAGTTCATACCTTGTAATTTTTCTGAGTTCTATTTGCAAGTGACATGTTAATTATTAATAAATTAAACAAGATTATCTATTTAATCCTCTATGGACCGAATTTTTGTTCATGATTATAACAAAATCTATGCAGTACAAAATTAATAAATATCCACATATGAATACGTATTAACAATGTATTCAATAGTTTCAATAATTTCATCAACCGAATATATTTTGTAACTTTCAAGTTAGAATAATGTTAAACTTTCACGCCTAAGAGTATATAAAAGTTTAAGTTAACTGATCACTTAATTTTATTCACCACTTTGAGTGCAAAATGAAATACAATAAATCAGCAAGATGGCAATATATTGATTTCTGGCTTCAAAGTTACATGGGTCTACAGGTGGTTAAAATATATTACATAACTATATGATACTTGAGTTTTTCTATACGTAGTGATATAAGTTGATTTCACTGAAAATCACCATCCGCGCAATTCAGTTACCTGAAAATTAGCCGGTACGTAATGTGTTAATATAATCAATGATTGAAAATACTTCCTAATGATTGTTGGTGTTTTCCTTTGTTACCTCTTTGCACAACTGCAAGGTTAATAACAAAAGAGAAATATAATGATATAATGAGTTTACTGCCTTACGTACCACCTATTCATCAAAAATATTACACCGTGCTAAGTGTAACCGAAAATTAAGATTGAAAAAATAATAGTTAATTTTTGTTGATTATGATTTACATAGTTGTTAATTTTTAATTCTTTATTAATATATCTGAAATATTTATTAATAAAGTCAATTACTCGTTTACTACATACATGTTTTCATTTCAATTTGAATGGACTTTTCGACTTTTCGAATAATAATTATAAAATTAACTATAGGAAATGTCCAAAATTCAATCGAAGAAAAATGATTAAACTGAGGAAGCAATTATGAGTTACAATATCAAAAGGTGTCCTTTGACACCTTCGATAGAAACAGTATTAATACCCTGTTTTATTGGGAAGCTTTAACAAAAATTATCCGACACGAATGTTTTAAAATCTTCCAGTGATCGTGTGGTTGTGAATAATCACTGCGTGTGGTGGCAACCTGAGACACTGCGGTACTGAAAAGTGTGGATATAGCTGTCCGGTTTATACTCCTTTCGCCGCAGCACGGTAATGAATTCGTGTCATTATCGTTAAACCGTGGTTAGCTTGTGCAAACTGCTGCGGGTTATAACGCGGCATTATAATATCTTTGCGGGTGGTTCCTTCCCGTTCGCGGTATTACGTTCACCGTGGATAATGATTCGAACTGAATGAAAGGAAAACTCCATTCAAGCAGACAGCTGTGTGTGTCGCCATTTTTCCCGCGGAACGAGCGAAATCGTCCGGGTCTTCCTAACGCGAGAGAGATTTTCTATGAGTCGTAAATTTAGTGTCTCTTAACACATTGTTGACAATATACTTTATTTATACATAATGAAATGAAACGAAACCTTGGGCATATCTTTTAGGTAACTTTCAATATTTTACTCTTGCAATATTCTATATTGCCCTGCGTTTTAGAAATTGATGTGGCTAACGCAAGTGCAAACACGAATTCACTCGTGACCAGTCAATTATTGTTGTTTTGTAGCAAAGATGAAAAGGAAGAGTTAGGGGAAAGTAGGGTAAAACGGATCAGTCAGGTAAAACAGGACAGCAATGTCCGGTAATTATTTACAACACTGATTCTTCGCCGATTTGGATGATCTTAAAATACATTATCAAGATCATCATTCTGAACAGCTTTTCCCTGTTCATGTGACCGCCACTCAGCCGTGGTTTTCCAGATATTCGCATGTCCGGGAATGAGGAGTTTTCGCACTTATTAACAAAAAGAGATGATCTTGAGCTTGACTTATATTGTTAAGGTCATTGTTCTGTATACCCAAGGCTTCGAACTTTTTGGCAATGAGTATTGGTTCGAAAGTTATGAAGTATTAAAGTTTCTCATTGCGCTGGAAATAATGGTTTCCATTTTCATTTATTAAAGCTGTTCCTTGTGATATGTGTACTCGAAATTCATTTAGATAATAGAGATTGGGATTAGTGGGGCTGGTTTTCTCTGAAGGGGAGGCGGCTGCACCCCATCCCACAAAAACTAACCTCACTAATACCAATCTCTATTATCCAAATGAAGTTCGAGTACACATATTATGAGGAACGAATTCAATAAATGAAAATGAAGACGACAATTTCTAGTGTAATGCGAAAATTTAATGCTTCATAACTTTTGAACCAATGAGTATTATCATTTTTCTAATACATACTCGTCAAATTTTTGTATTTGGACAAACTAAAGATGTATGAGATTCAATTATTAGATAATGTTGTATTGTCTAATTGTACTTAAATTTTGTATAGTCGCTTTATAAGAAAACTATTGGAATATTAAATATTTATATAAAATTCCTTAGAGTTAATTAGTCAGGATAATTAACGAAGAGAGAGTTTAGATTTTAAACTCCTAGTTAAAATTGATTAGCGTCTAGTTATTTGTATATGGAAGGGCAGGGAAGATTTTAATTTCCTTTTGAAAAGACTTTTTTACTCGGAATTATTAAACATTCGCATTAAACAGCACATTACCATTTTAAATACGAAACAAAATCCTCTGGAAACGATAGTAAACGTTTATGAAAATTTCGAGGAAAGCAGAGAAAGGGTTTACGACGCGATAGATGAAATCTCTGCATTATAAAGCAGATCTAATGCATATCAAATGTATCGTAAATCTGAATCAAATTAGAAATTCTACAAGTAATGTACTTTCCATTTCCGGATTAGAAAGATTCAATCGACACGCGAGTTTAAAATAAATTCGCTAAATAAACGTTCGTTGAAGTATTCCTAACGTTTATAAATTAATTTAACAAACTTTTATGAAGCAATCTTTTAATGGAACTGAAGTTAATATTCATTCTAATGTTTCTCAAATGAGAGAAATTTTCATGTGATTTAATTATAATAAATTTTTCCTTGAATAAAAGTTTCACTACATTGAAAATGAAATGAACAATTATCTGAATTTCCCTAATCTATTCATATAGCTTTATATAGTTTTATATAGTTTTACATAGTTTTATATAGTTTTATATAGTTTTATACAGTTTTATATAGTTTTATATAGTTTTATATAGTTTTATATAGTTTTACATAGTTTTATATAGATATATATAGTTTTACATAGTTTTATATAGATATATATAGTTTTATATAGTTTTACATAGTTTTATATAGTCTTACATTCTTTCATATAGTTTTATATAGTTTGTCTATGGTTTTATATAATTTTATATAGTTTCATATAGTTTCATATAGCTTTATACAATTGTATATATAAGCTCTTAGACTATATTGTCAATGAATAACTCAGCGTTACCATACCATCATATTATTACGATTACTATTATTTACTATATCATAACCTGTGTTTCATAATATCATTATAATATTGTTATAATATTATTTTCACACATCAATCACATAAATCTTATAACAAAAGGTTTTAACGATAATGGTATATTTTTCATTTCGTCGGATCAGGCAAATCTGTGATAATTGTTCAACTTTTTGTTTCCTACACATTTTGTGCATATCGTACCTACTTAAGTAGATGCATAAACATATGCATTTACAGAGAGCTTTAATGATCCTTACTGTTCTGTTCGTAAGGCGTTCAGCTACGAGAGGCAAGAATCATTTCAGCCGCGTATGCACGCGGAGTATCAACGAAATGTGAAAGGCGACGGTTATACGCACGAGGAATGTGGAATGTTTACAAATGCCTACATAGTATTCTTTCGCGAATATCAACGTTCATTCACCTATGGGAGCACGTCGAAGCATTAACAATCGCGTGATATTCCAACAGAGATATTCCGATCGCGTTCAATATTACTGCCACTGAAACGCACGAATCTGTCATTCATAATAAAAAAAACAAAGAAAATTATTCCAACGAAGATCGACAAGCAAGGTCGAACATTTTAACGATACACGACAAATTCCGAATAAATGGAAAAGCTACGAGTTTGTATTAGATCGTGTAATATGAAATGTCGGATGTCGGAAAAAGGGAACGTGTTTTTAATGAATATATCGGTTTTTTGTAAGATTCTGAGTGTTTAAAATTAATCAGTTCTAAAGACATCGTTATAAACTATTATTTCGGGTTTACCAGGCGCCTCATTTTGCAAAGAGACATCACCGAAACGAAATTTTACAAATCAACGCTGCACTGTTCTTTCATTCACAGTATTGTCTCCAAATGGTTTGTTTAGATTTTCAGCGGTTTTCGTAGTATTATTTCTAAGTTTCAATTCATATAAGAAAATTACACGAATGTTAACGGTATCCATGTTTTCAGAAAACGACACAAGAAATAGTTATGCGTAATTCGGAAAATCTTTTTTGCAAAAAGTTACTCTGGTAATCGATAATGAAATTGTTTAAGAGATTACATGAAAAATAAAGGAATAACAACAATAGGAGTACAAATATTTATGAATAAGATAAACCCGACATTTCATATGACACGACCTAATAGTAAAGTTTGTTTTGTTGTACTGAATTGGAGGATTATCAGGGTTAGAAGTATATTTTTTACAATATCTCTGAAACTAGGGGGTGCAGAAAACAAATTTTTGCTTCAAATTGTTCGCCTCGAAATTACATTTCTTTTATACAGTCCGTAGTTTCAGAGATACTGTAAAAAATATACTTTTAATCCTCACCTTTGAGGGGTGCTTTGTATGTTGGCCGATAAGAAAAAATACGTGTCAAATATTTTCTTGGAAACTATGCCTCACATGAATTCCACCAAACTCGGCGTGTACTGGTTGAAAAGATTTCGTTGTATAGTCTAAGTAAAGATCTCCCTTCCCATTGGATATCCAGTGATGCTCGCTTAAATTCCACAGAAATTTCTCTTCCCCCACTACTCATTGTTTCGAACTTAGTATAACGTAACCCAGTAGACAGAAGCAGAAAATGAATACAATGAAGGGAAAAGAGACAGACACGGGTTAGAGGGATTCTGCATGCGTAAAGTATTGTATAAACATGCAACGAAGAAAATTTCAATTGAAATTATTTTAATTTTACCTTCTCAATCGTAGTAACAATAGAATGTTGAGATTATTCTCATTAAAGTGAGTCCAAACACGACGTAAATTGTTCTGGTTTTTTCAATTTGAGACAAACGAACATTTAATGTCGTTAATTACATTAAGTCGGTGAAACTAGTCCGATTTCCACCGTGTTTGGACTCATTTTACTTGCAACAATCTCAGATATTCACTGGCACTACACATGAGAAGGTTACATTGAAATTACTGCAATTGAAGTTTTCTTCATTGCATGTTTATATTTGACGACGCGTGCTGTATCGCTTTAAATCCCGCGTTTCGACCCCCCGATACTCGACGGACTGTGTCTATCCCGCTTTCGCTCACTACAACGTTTCTCTGCCTTTATTAGGCTGTGCTCGAGTCAATTCCTGGAAGCAATTAGCTTCCTCCTGTTTTTCTGCTCGGTTAAATTCCACTGCTGGGACCCAAAATTGTGGAATTTAAACGAGCATTACTGTATTATATAAAAGGAATATTCACCATTTGTTAAGTAACAAACTTAACCACTCGGCGGTTTCGTCTTTGTACAAAGCTCTTCTGCGACGCAGTCTTCCCAATTCTTGTTGAATCGAAGATTGGAGTAGCCTGGACACTCTCGTTTTAAATATCGTACCAGCTAGTGCTAGAACCAATACCAGCCATGCCAATGACAATCCTGCTGCTCCTATTATCCATGCGATCGCTAGCGTCACGCTAAGATACAATGCACCGCGAATGGCTTCTGCTTCCCTCTGCAACAAAATTATAATAGTTCTGTAAGTACACGACAACATAATGATCTCACAGTCAGTATAACGGCATGTAACGCTAGTCTACAAAATTTACCTTTTCTTTTGTTACAGAAGATTTAATGGATGATCAGTATTTCTCATGCTGAATTCGAACGTGCAATCCGTTTTTCTCCATCACCCACAGTTTTTGAGAAGATTAATTTTGAAAGAAAAGTCAATTTTTCAAATTTAAACGTTTGCTGTGTTTTAATTATGAAAATTTTTTTAAATTTTCTTGCACAGTATTATTCTGTGGATCTCTCTGAATACAATGATGTAAATTTGAATGATATTACAAACATTTAAACATGTTTAAACAATGCTGAAAGGCAAAAGATAATTAAGACGCACAATATGTTCAAAGTTGAAAAATTGAGATTTTTCTCGTAATTAATTTTCTCAAAAGCTGTGGGTGTGGAGAAAAACGGACTGCATAATCGTATTTACCATGAGAAATACTATTAAGATCACCCATTAAATCATTTGTAACAAAAATCGTGTTGATCAGTGTAATTAGTCAAGATTACATTTTATTTTTTCGTCGTTAGACAGAGAAAGGAAATTACTCGATATTCAACGAAAAAGATATTCCATTTTTTCATATTTTACACAATGTGGCGGAAATGGCTGGCCCTTAACACAAGATTATAAGCATTTTCCTTTGAACTTTTAACTTTGGTCGCAATCTTTATAAGGGGCAGTTTAATGGTAATAAAGATCTACGAGAAATTCGTTTAGATTATTAACACATTCGCGACTGGCAAATTTTTTGCTTTCTTAATATTCTTTGCCGGTGAAAATGAAGAAAATCTTAAGCTAATTGCCGCAAGAATTAGAACAAAGACGAACATTCGAAAATTTAGTTTGAAATATTAGTAATGATCTGTGTCTGATTGAAATGAAGAACTTTCCGTTAAAGAAAAATACTTACAAAGATGTGAATTTATAGAAGTGACAACCAGGAATAGAATTTGAAAAGACGTGCATTCACGTCAGCGATCGCAAATAGGAAGTTAAAGGTCGTTTAAGATGTCGAACAAGAAAATTCTTTCTGATTCTCGATTAGTTAACCAGTTAACTTCATTTGACCATTGTATATGTTATCTTAAAGCTTGAAATGATACTAATTCTTTTAACGATGAATTCTTTATTTTTTCAGATAAACACGTAATTACTGTTTGTTTTCCTTTGGTTTTTCATTAAAATTAACCCTATCTGCATTCTTCCTGCATTTGACGAATACTCACTTCATTTTTTGATTATATTACGCGCAAAACGAGAAGTTTCTTAAATGAAATTCCTGTTATCAGGTTTATGGATACTGCGGTGTCTTTTATTTTGAGCATGCATTTGAATTCATTTGCAAAATTATCTCGACCGCCGCGTTTTCATACGACACGGTATTAAATACCGCCGTGGAGAACGAAATAAAGGGAAAGTCGGACAAAATTAAAATCATTATTCCTTCGTCTTGGTGGTATATAGGGCACAATCCCTGCACGCTCACGCAATATCGCGTGCACGAATATCTAAGAAGTTTCTTGGGCGTCATGCAAAACGTCATTAACCCCAGAATGATTAGATTAAGTGGCACAAGTAAACGCGATTGATTTAAATCAAAAGGTTCCACGAGGGTTTACGCTTTAACAAACGTCACATTGTGTAAATAAGTATCGCTGGGTTCGCCATTTTCGCTTTGATCACGAGAAAATGGAGGGTCACGCTTACAAACAACGAGAATAGATTCTAGAAATTGAATTCATTTTACCAGTATTTTACTATTATTAACCTTAGGTTCTGTGGAATTCAGTTTGAAATATTTGTTAGTTAACTGTGGAATTTAGTTTGAAGAATCTCTCGTTTTACGCGCAATAAAATAAAAAAGTGAAGTATGTATTCGTCAAAGGCAAGGAAAATCCACCTATAATATATTCTAACGGTAGATTAAAACAAAACGAAGAAGAATTACATGTTCATTTGAAAAAATAAATAATCATTGAAGTAATTACTACCATTTTGCGTTTCAAGATGACGTATACTCGTCGAACGTAGTTAACTGGTTAAGGGACAGAACTGTTTTATTTCTGTATTCCATATGTTTTATACAAAATATATTATTAAATCCTTTCAGAGCCATGAACGATCTAATTACTTTGTTATTAATAATTTATTGAAAATAAGAGAAAAATTCTAAGTATATTCCATATGAACATTTTCTCTAAAATATTACTATTGGTGACAGAGAAATAATATTTCATTTGAATTCAAACGTATTATATGGTATTTATGTTTGTTAAATTCCATTTGAAATCCTCATCGCGAGTTTGTCACGATATTATGGGGCAAGGGATTAATTTTATAATTTTGCTGTGTTGATTCAAGTGGGGACTGAAAGTCGCCTCTTCATTTTGGAGGGTACAAGTATTAACACTAGAAGTAAGTTAAAATTGAGTTAAAATTACCCATTTTGATTTCTTTTTTTTACAATTAATGAAAACATTCAGACACTTTTTACAAAATTATTAACGAAGCTGATTTAGCAATATCGGAACTGAAATTGAAACCTTAATAAACGCACGTTTATTTCTATGAAGCAATTTGAAAAAGTCAGTTTAAGTACTAGTAGTCCTAGTATTAAATCAAAAGATTTCACGAAGATTTACGATTTAATGTCTTTATAGGGCAAGAGGTTAACAAATACGTAGGTTGCTGCAAAAGTTTCGGGAATCTGTTAACTGTGGAATTTAATTTAAACAAATCTTTCATTATGCGCATAACAATATCTAACAAAGAAGTATATACATACTCGACAAAAGCAGGGCAAATGAACCTATAATATATTCAAGTAAACAATTAAAGTAAAACAAAGAAGAATCAGATGTGTATCCGAAGGAATAACTAATTTATCATGAAAAAACTGTGTATCGTTTTGAGCTTTAACATGACGTGTATACTCGTCAAACGCAGTTAACTAGTTAAAACCGAAGGAGAATATTTTGAAAAACAAAGAATCTATTAATTCAAGTTCCTTTGTGACTTTTCTCATTCTTTCCCGACACTTTTACAGCAACCCACGTATGTACTTAACAGTTAACTAGATCCGCCATCTTCGTGTCAATCACGAAAAAACGCAGGGCTACGGTAACAAATAAAACGGACGGAATGATTGTTGTTCAAAGCGTCAGAAGTAATACAGCATCGTGTAAATGTTACATGTACACGTGTTACAGATAGTAGCAAAAAGTAGTAATTGTGTAATTCAGTACACACGTGGCAGGAAAGTTATGATCGAGTTAATGGAAAGGAGAAAGTTTCATCGTGAAACCAGTCGTATAGACCTTTCAATATATCGTTTCTTCTGAAATTAAACGCATCCGTTCGGATAACCAGATGTTAGAACAATGTGGTTCAGTAGTTGTTTACGAACAAATATAATTGTATTTGACTGAGATGTATATGTTACGGTTGATATAATAAATTTGGTTTGTGTTAATAATAACCGTTATTAATAACATCCGCGTCTTTTAGTAAATATAAATAATAAATTGTAATAATTATATTCATCGGTAATTATTAGTTATTACTCGATTTTACTTGCATTTAAGAAGTCAAACGGAAATCGTTAATATCCTGTACTTTAGAGATTTTCGATTTCACGTGTTAATATTCAATTTTCTCTTTTAATGTCTTTTAATTGGCGTACCTTTTATCTGGAAAGATATTGCGGCACGTGAATAATACATCTTTCACAATATTTATGCAGGGTTATAAATGTTTATTTATATAATAAAATCTGCTGATAGCAGATATAGGATTTAATATTTTGTCAGACAAGTATGGGCATATGGTAAAATTATTAGACTGCGGAAGTTCATGTAAATATACATTTTTATACAAACGTTCTGTTGTGATGCGAATATGTTAAAATACTAGATACTACAAAAATAATTATCGCAGTTTTAACATACATATGTTGAAATATTTGTATATCAACAAAATACTCCTTTTTATAGGAAAATTTTAGTAAAAATTGCCCGATGCGAATGTGTTAAGTAAATTCGATTATTTTTGTAAAAAACTTCCACAGAATATTAAGTAATTTAGTAAAATTCAGTAGAATTCAGGTTAAAAGTAAAGTAGAATTACATTAATTTGTATTACAACGTTTCTATTGTAATTCCTTGAAGATCTTTATATTCAGTATTTTTCAGCACTATACATTTACTAGATATTTTCAACAAAAAATGGAAACAGAACAAATATACATTATTTTGCGCAGTAAACCGACGTCTGTTGATTCGATGCAATTTAAGGGCATAAAAAATGGCTCGTCGTCTCATATCGTGGAGTTACGCAACGGTAACGCTACCTGCCCTGTCAAGATCGTAACATTTCATTAATTAGAAAGTTGTTCAATGCTAAGGGACCAAGTTCCATCGCAAAAAATCTGGTTTTTCAAGACAGAACCTTGAGTCAATGGTGTTTGTACCATTCGCGAAATAACAGAAACTGCATTCTCGTGTTTGACAATAGTTGCTGGCTCAATAACGGTTACGTATGTTTGTGGCAATGAGGCCGAGAAGCGTAAACAATCATTAAAGTCAAATTCTGACAATTTTTTAAGAAGTATACCTCACTTATTTGCATATAATGGGCGCATTATTAATTTTAACTATGAGTTACGACGTTCTTCGAGTATCTTTCAACCCAATTAACTTTCTTCAACTTTTCAGCACACTTTCATTAGTTAATTTCTATTTAATGACATTCTCATTTTCTCGAGGTTACATGTAAAGTAGAGAATAGAACAGGAAAAGTGTTCCTATTTTATCAATAATTTTTCAAATGTGCTGCGAATCATAAAAAATAACGATATTGATCAACTATTGGAAAAGTTATGAAGTTATAAGTTATTGTGTACTGAGAAAGTACCATGACATTGTAATAAAATAACTATTTAT